GCAGGAATGGATGAGTGTTCCAGTTATCCACATTCTCACCAAGACTTATTATTTTATCTGTCTTTAGTTCACCCATTGTAGTGTTTGTAAAGTGGTATGTCTTTTTGGTTTTGATTTGCATTTTCCTAATAATTAATTATGTTGAGTATCTTTTCATGTGCTTATTGGCTATTTGTGTATCTACTTGGAGAAATGTCCATTTACTTCCTTTGACTATTTTTAATATTGGGTTGTTTCTCTTTTAACTATTGAGCTTTAAGAGTTTTTTGTATATTCTGGATACAAATTCCTTGTCAGATACATGATTTTCGAATATATTCTTCCATTCTGTGGGTTGTCTTTTCACTTCCTTGATCATGTCCTTAGAAGCACAGTTGATTTTGATGAAGTCCAATTTATCTATTTTTTCTCTCATAGGCAAGTTTTTCACAGTATTCAGTGGCATCATAATTCCTTTTTATTGACTCCTTGAATATTTTATTTTATTTTTTCTCAAAATAAACTGGCCTTATTGATATTAACAACATATTGTCTTATCAGGCTTCTCATCAATGTTTGTCAGGTACTCAAGCATCCAGCTGTTTCTAATAACAAAACATTGAGGAAAGCCTTTGTGAAAGTCCTTATTACAAAAACGTTATACGTCCAATTAATTGCTTTCATTAGAAACATAATTTGGTTTGTATGCTGTAGCATTCTGGGGCTCAAGTGTAGGAAGCTGAAATGGAATAGGAAAAAGAAAAACCTCATAGGTAGCCATTTTCCATAATGTCCTTCATAAATAATATCCTTATCATCATCTCCTTCTCTCCTTCTCAAGCTATGGGAATTGTTTTCATTCTAAGGTACTGAATGTGAGCACTGAGATAAACAGTAAAATATTTTAATACGTTGGCTTAGCTTTATGACAGGGATAATAAAAACTTTTGTGGTTGCTATTGTTAGGACACAAAAAGGCTTGTAGAAACTTTATTTTATGTAAAATTTATTAATAATAATAGCTAACATTTATTTAGTACTTAATATGTGCCAAACACAAAGTGCTTTATGTATATTATCTGAATGAATTTTCACAACTCCTTGAGGTAAGTAATATAATTTTTCCATTTTTATATGTGAGGAAACTGAGGTATAGAGAAGTAACTTGCCCATGGTTTCACATTTAATAAGATTTGGAGGTCAGATTCATCTTCAGACAACCTGATTTCAGAACCAAGATTTAAATGACAACTTTAAACCCTCCACATTCATGATAGTAAAAGGTAACAGTAAGAGTTAAGTAATGTCTTCTGTTGCTTTTATATGCTGTATACTTTCCAGGAAATCATTTCCTATTCATTGAATAGCTTGTATCTGTCTGCCTCCTGAATAAGGTTGAAAAGTCTGTCCTTGCTGCAGTGTTACTGACTCTTTATAATATATTTCAGATCTCAGTGGGAAATGGAGAAGCATAATCTGGAAAGCACAATTAAAACATACTTAAACAAACTGAATGCAGAAACTAGCAGAGCTTTAACAGCTGAGGTAAAAGAAAAGAAAGAGGGAGAAAGAGATGGGGTTGAGGAGTGAAGTTTTACTTGTGTACTGGTATACTAAAGAATTTTTTAAATATTGTTTTTTGAATAAACAGAATTAAGACATCTGAGGACCAGCCAGAAAAAGACAGCTCAAACTCTTGTGCTTTTTTGACTTGTTGGCATTTTGTATATTTTTACTTGAAATTGATGATCTTATGTTGTTTTCCCCCAAATGACTCCAAGAAATTGTTTTGCTTCAGTATGTATAGCAAATATAGACATCTTAGAAAATTCTCATTAATCCAGGTGACTAAGCCAAACTTCTAAGAATAACATTTCACTGCTGCCGTAATATCTCCTTTCTTTGCTATTTAACTACATAGATCTTCCAAAAACACATACACACCATACATTCCAGTGTCGGAAACCAACTTACCTCTTCCCCCAGAAAGGTATTCAGTTTCTTCTAAGTTATTTTAGAACACCACAGCTAGGATCTCTCAAAAGAAATGTGATTGTATGTATGTATGTAATTTTTATTTATAGATAACCAAACTTGATATACAATAAAATTCAAATTTTGGAGCACTCGTTGACATTAAAAGCATTACAAACCTTCTCACCTTTGTCATGGTAAGGTCTATTTTTAGCAGAGTACTCTGGAATCCAGAGCTCAACAATCAAGGGGTGATAGCTGCACCAAAAATCCCTGGACAGTAAAGTATTGGAGTATTAAATTTAACCAGAAAAAAAAAAGCTCAGATTACCTTAAGAGTTCAACTTTGTAGACTTTGTTTTTTACTGCTTTTAATCAGAAAGTTCCTTTCTACTTCCATTATTAATTTTAGATACACTTAATGCTGTCTAAGAGTATAATGAGCTATTTTCAGCGAATATTGAGTGATCAATAGGAAAAAACAGAGGCCAAATGACCATGCATCAATAATAGTTGGAAGGGATTCCCACTGCTGGAGAGACATCAGCTAGATGACCTCCAAGGCCCATTTGGACAGCATAGTCCTGTAGGATCTGATTGTTTTCTTACTCCTTCATCAATTAAAAAAAAAATCAAATAGGACTTCTTTTGAGTGTTCTTAAACACACTTGCTGCGTAATAGAGTTATCTGAGAGCTTTTACAAACGCCTTTTCGGGACTTCCCTGGTGGTGCAGTGGTTAAGAATCCACCTGCCAATGCAGGAGATATGGGTTCGAGCCCTGGTCCAGGAAGATCCTGCATGCCCCAGAGCAACTAAGCCCATGTGTCACAACTACTGAGCCTGCACTCTAGAGCCCGTGAGCCATAACTACTGAGCTCACATGCCACAACTACTGAAGCCCATACTCCTAGAACCCGTGCTCCACAACAAGAAAAGCCACCGCAGTGAGAAGCCCGCGCACCGCAACGAAGAGTAGCCCCCAGTTGCAGCAACTAGAGAAAGCCTGCGCATAGCAACGAAGACCCAACGCAGCCAAAAGTAAATAAATAAATGTTTATTTTTAAAAATCAATGACATAAAAAGAAAAAGATACTCAGAAATTTTTTTAAAACAACGTTTCCCAGGCTACACCTAGTATCAATTAAATTAGAATCTCTGAAACCAAGACATCATTTTTTTAAGTTTCTGAAATGATTCCAGTGCATATGCAAGTTTAAAAACTAATGTTCTAAAATGTTTCCCAACCCAGTAACTTTTGAATAAATATATGAGAATTTCAGAATTGATCAAAGAGCTTTAAAATGTGTCATGGGCAGGAAAGAAGCTCAGGTGTTGTTGGAAGAGATTGAAAAAAAATAACTAAATTTACTTGAAATGTTTGAGGAAAGAATGTGTTCATTTACAAGGACACCTTTAACTTCTTTCTCTTTCTCTCAAAAATCTGTAGGTATATTTTTTACAGTGTCGTAGAGATTTTGGTTTGCTTCATCTAGAGCAGACTGAAAAGGAATGCCTCAGTCAGCTTGCCAGGGCGACTCACATGGCAGCAAGGTAACCTCTCCCTCTTCCTTAATGTGTCCTGGTCTCTGAGGTACTCACAGGTGGCTCCAAGGTTGAACATAATCTGTGATGTGTTTTACATATATGACATCAGAGTCTTCGGAGTGAAGAAGCCATTGTTTTTATAAACCTCAAATGTCATTTAGTCACTTTGAGCTTTTACTTTGTTGCTTCTGCTGTGGCACTAAGTAGTCTACTAAGTGCAGTAGTAGCTGATGGCAGATTTTTCCCTTCCTCTACAATGAAACAGATCAAAAGTCTCAGTCAGAGACATGCATGAAGACCAGATATTTACAAAACAAGGTGGATTCTAATTGGAAAACTTTTTTCTAATTCTTTTCTCTCTTAACGCTTTATTTTAAATACCTTTGGAAAAATACATTAAGGGAAAAATCAGTATTAACACCTAAAACCATGTTAAAGGCAGTTTCCTGCTGTGCTACAAATGAGTGGTTTTCAAATTTTAGGCAGGTTGCATGGGATTCTTCAGTTTATAATTTTATGGGGTACACCTTTGAACTTCAGGAATTAATTAGATTCAAATCTGTGGGACCAAAGCATCACTACTTTTAATGATTATTATTTTAATATGATCATCATTATTCTTCAATTCTAAAGAATCAGAATCTCTGATGTTTAACAAGATTCCCAGGACACACTGATGTGCATTCATGTCAGGGAAGCACTGTTTTAAGTGATCAGTCTATCTTTGCTTGCTAGAGGGAGAAAGGATGCTCTATAAATTAGAATATTGTCAAGCTTCTTTGTATGAGATGATCTCAGTGATAACTTGTTATGCTCTTTTGTGCCAGGTGATACTGGGGTGGGGATGTTATAACAGATAGAGCCTTTTGAAAGGCCACGTGAAATCTCTCTTCTTGAGATGCCAGACCGTAAACACCTCAAAGCTGTTTTACTTAAGTTGTTTGATGGGCATGGTGGGCAGAGCTGCTGTGTTTGTGCAATTTAGCATACCATAGAGACAACAATCTAATTCATCCTCACAGAAGAGGTATTTCTTTCTAACTTTCCTTTCTGTAGGGAGTATCTTTTTCTAATTTGCAAAAGAGCCTGATAGGCCAACCATGGCCCTGTGATGTCAGGGTTAATGTGAAGATAGTCCAAAACCTGCTTTCAGGATGTCAACATCTTTGAGAATGCTCCTGCATTGGATGGCTAGGGCAGTTTCCCTGTGTGGCCTCCTTTGCCTCCCTTCTTCAGTGGAAGATTCCTATACAAAGGAATGTCTTTGTTTACTAAGCTTTTTAAAAATTTTTGATAACAAGCCCTTCCATACAACTTTCTGCCCATTTGAAGTAATTGGTGATAGAGGTAATTTTGTTGTTGTTTTACTTTATCTATATACATGCTAGAGAACATAATAGAAATTTTTGGAAATCTAAGTGGCATATAAAAAGAAAGAACTTTCTCTTGTGTCTCCATTTCTATACCAGCAACCTAAAATCACTTCAATTAAAGGCTGCAGTAGACAGTTGGAATGCCATTGTGACAGATGTTAGAAACAAGATTGCATTCCTCAGGGTAAGTCATGAAGTATTTAGAGTAAATTGACTGAATGGTGTAGGTGGTATATACTTAAAGGAAACATCTAACATTAAAAACAATTACTAGAGAAATTTAAGGAAGAACATGTTTTTTCATTGCAGTTATTAAAATTTATGCCTTTTTGAGGTTTGAGACTGATTACTTCCATTGTAGTTGGCTGTAGATAACACCCTAGGCTCTTACTTGTGGTCTTCTAGGTCCTTAGTCTAGTAAATGGTAAACTCAAAAATTGTGCCTCACACAGTTTTCCTAGAATTCCAAAGCTAACTCTGCTCCAGTCAGAAATAAATGTCTTAACTTGATCTGAGTAATTATGTGTTTATAGAATTAAAAGGAAGATCAAGCAGATCTGTATTAGTTTTCAGTCTTAACTTTTTATGTAATTACTCCCTAATGCAAAATAATAAATTCTTAATTATTCATGTAATAGTATTAGGACTGTGCTAACAGTAATCTAAAGAGGTAACACACTGAATACTTGTCTAGCTTTGTCCTTGGTGGTCTTCCCTGTTTCTTTCCCAGACTCGTTCATACTCAGTCTTTAGTGATGCTTAGCATATTTATCGGATTTATTCAAAGTTCTGGCCTCAAAAGAGATGCCCCTTGTTCTTTGTCATTGTTTTCTTCTAAGAACGTGTCCTATATATGGAAGTTTCTAAATGTTTGAAGACTTTCTCTTCTAGCTCTTGTGGTTTGTTTACAAAATAACATATAAAGCAAAATGGGGACAATGCCAAAAATGTTCAAAGTATGTTTTTAAGCTTCAAGGATAGGAGTCTTACCTTTGGCAAAATCTAAGAAGAAAAAACAAAGGTATATGTGGAACTGGAGACAGCTACAGGTATAACTTTTAAGATTAAAAAAAATGTGGACATTCAAAAGTTTTCCCTAAAACTTCCCCTCCAGTTTTTAAAATGAACATTTGCAAGTAGTTCAACTCTTTGTTACAAATACTTTTTTCCCCATATTTTTCAGCAAGTAGATTATTTACATCTTCTTGATCTTTAGACTCTGTTTACTTTATATAAGTGGTTCCCATTTGGGAGCTAAAAATTATGGAAACACTGAGGAATTATCACAGAGATCTGTGAATTATGTGTCTCTGTATCTTGTCAATCAATAGATACTTCTAAAAATACAGCTATTTACATTTATGGATAGTGATGTATAGAGTTGTTTTTATGTCAGAAATTCTTTTTATATTATTTCTGGCATAATAGATTGGAAATCACTCATCTATGTTGTACTATTCAAAACTACATCAAGTACTTCCATATGCTATTTCTTTGAAGTTGATTTTGCTATAAAATATTGTTTCTCCTACTAGACACAGTACAATGAACAAATTAACAAGGTGAAGCAAGGGTTTGCCTTGAGTACCTTGCCTCCAATCCAGCTTCCTCCACCACCACCCAGTCCTGAGATACTGGTAAGAAATACAGTTGACTCTTGAACAACGCAGGGGTTGGGAGTGCCAACCCCCCACCCCACCCCATGCAGTCAGAAATCTGGGTACTGCTCTCTCTGCTTCACAAATGGAATTGATAAATGACTACCCAAGAGCAGGAAGCTGAAACAGTTTGGATAGAATCAGGACTCAAACCCTAGTTTTTTGATTCCACATAAATGCAAACTTTCTCCACATTTAGTTAAAGATCTGTAAAATGAAAATACAGGGATTGTATTTATTGAAAAAAATCGGTGTATAAGTGGACCCACACAATTCAGACCTGTGTTGTTCAAGGGTCAACTGTATAACATTTTGAAAAATCACCATCTTCATCTTGATAAAATGGTAACAGCTTAAAACACTGAATATGCATTATGTTTGTGTGTTCAAAGTGGAAAGGGTACATGTAGTGCATATCATTTGTAATTATGTCC